GAAGTGTTTATTGGCTACAGGCACTGAACCAGGAAGTCCCGGGGACACCAGGTACAGCTGAGGATGGCCCAAAAAGCATTGAATAGAAAGTGCAACTATAACCCACCACTCTACTAAGCTTCCTTAACACTGGTAATAAAACATCCACTCCCTCGGCAAGAGAAAACTGACCAGTCACAAGAAAAAGATTCTGATAATGATAAACATTATGGTTGGTGGTGTAACTCAGTGGCATGGTGCTTGCCCAGCATGTGTGAAACCTTGGGTTTGAGTCCTAGGACCACAGACACACACACACAGATCATTAAAAAGGATGGAGTAGATAGATGTGAACAATTTTTAGAATAATTCAAAGCCAAAATAAAAGTGAATAATATTACTTTTATGCTTACAAAATGTCTATAACCCAAAAGTTCCCACCTATGATCATGCTATGACTCATAGAGAAAGTTCTAGTGAGATATACATCAAAATCTGGAGGGTCAGGCATGGTGGCACACGTCTTTAGTCCCAGCTCTCTGGAGGTAGAGGCAGGCAGATGGATCTCTGTGGGTTTAAGGCCAGCCTGGTCTACATAGTGAGTTCCAGGCCAGCTGGGGCTACAGGGAGACCCTGGAGGGAGAATGCATGAGTCCAGGGGAAGGATGGTGACAGCAGGGTCTGCAACTCATTTTTAATATGCATGTCTGCATTTTTTTTCACGATAAATATTTTTAAATGAATTTTTAATGGCATGGGCCAGTATTCTTAATATATCATTAAGTGAAAAAGCAGCTGTACGGTATATATTTACTATGATTCCCACTGCTTGTTTTTAAAATGTAGCTTCTAAACTAAGGGCTTTAAAAAATAATGATCAAAATAAAGAAATCAAGGGAACCCTTTTGTCTCAAACAAATATCATGCTCATCTCCATTCAAGCAATGGAAATTAGCCCGATTTAAATAACACAGAAGCAGAGACCCAGGGCTCTGGTCAACCACCTATCTCCCTATGGCTCCACAAGCCCCCTCAGAGCTCTAGACAGCACTGTTTGAAAACTACTGTTATCATACAAAGAAAGGAAAGTAAAACTCAAAAGAACAACTTCCTCAGAGATGAAGCAGGCTGAAAACTTTTCTTTTGTATTTGTAACACAAACCTTTTTTCTATGAATTAGAATCCTGAACATGCCTATAGAGCAAACCGAACCCTGATACACGGGTGAGAGTGGAGATGGTAATGTGTTACTCTTCCCAAGTTATTCTCTATCCATGTTAGTTTAACTTAGATTAACTTTAGCCACATACTTCTCTAGACAATTTTTCTAATTTCATAATTTTCAAATTTATTAGATATGTTTATCTAAAAAGTCTTGATTTTAATTTTATTTTAATAAATTTTTTTCTTGTTTTGGCTTTTTTATTGCTAGTCTTTTTAAAATTTCTTGAGCTGATTTTCTTATGATGCTGCAGAGAAAACAGGGTACCTTGAACATGTCAGGCAAGTGCTGCGTGTTGAGGACATCACTGTTTTTACAAAAGCATTCAAAGCTATGAATTGTCCTCCTCAGTGTGTTTTTGAACACATCTTTTAAAGCATTTATTGTTTTGTGTTTTCACTGTCATTAGTTTCTAAATAATATAAAATTTAATTTTTTATTTTCTCTTATTCAAATGCTGCTTCAAGTAGATAAGTGTTTTGAAAGTCTTCATTATTAATTTCTAGTTTTATCTCACCATAATAAAAGACAGTAACCTGTAAGAATTTTTAACTTATTCTACTTAAAATGTTCTGAGTAGTTTATCATAGGATCAATTCTTTTGATTTATTTTTATGTGTATGAGGGTTTTACTTGCATATATTTAAGTGCAGTTGTGTCATGCAATGCCTGCAGAGGCCAGAAGAGGGCAACGGATATCCTGGAACTGGAGTTAAAGATAGTTGTTAGCCTCCATGTGGTTGCTGGGAACTGTACCCAGGTCCTCTGTAAGAGCAGCCAGTGCTTTTAACCACTGAGTCCCATATGACCAGTCCCATATGGCCAATTTTTATAAATGTTCCAAAGTATTTGAAAATTATCCTTTCATAGCCATTTGCTATCAGAGTTTCAAAAGGCTTCTGCTGACTCTTCTGCTCTTCCTATAGAATTCCATTATTTGTACTAAATTGACTGCTAAAAATCAGTTAGCAATTCTTTGGTAGAAATTTCCTAATTTGCTGGCCCATGATGACTCTTGTCACTGTTGGAATGTTTTTCTCTTTGTTTTTATATTTATTTAATTTCAACACACAATTTTTTGAGAGAGGAAGGTAAAAATCACAAGCTTAAAGTATAGCACAATATATAAGAGCTTAGTGTTAAAAATCACAAAGATCAAGTTTGAATTCTGACTCAAAACCCAAACCAAACCAAAACTGAGGGGCAAGTTAGATAGCTCAGTGGGTAAAAGTGTTTGCCACTAAGCTCGACAACCTGAGTTTGATACCTGGAACCCACATAGCAGAAGGAGAGATCCAACTTCCACAAACTGTCCTTTGATCACCACATACGTACCATGGAATGTGTGCAACCACACATATGCACACACACTGATAAATAAATGTAATTTTTTCAAAAAACTGAACCTGGGGATTTAGATATTTATACACCAATGTTCAAGATAGTATTATTCCCAATAGCCAGATGGTATAAACAACTCAGGTGTCCATTGGTGGATGAATACAAGCAAAAGTATATATACATACTAATGGACATTACTGCACATTAAAAATGGAAAGGTATTTTGGCACATGTTACAATATGAATGAACTCTGAAGGCCTTATGTTAAGCCAGATACAAGAGGAAAAACAGTATGTAATTTCACTAATACGTGATATTTAGAGTAGCAGAATTCATAGGCAGAAGTAGAATGATGTTTTCCATGGACTGAGGGTACATAGGAGGCAAGTAGCTGTTGTTGGTCATTGAGTACAGAGCTTCAGTTTTGCAAGATGAAAAAAAAAGTTCTGGAGACTGATTACAGAGAATGTGAATATACTTAAAACTACTGAATTATATACTTAAAAGTGGCTAAGAGGATAAATTTTATGCTATGAATATTTTACCAAGTAGTGGCTATTTTGTTTTATTCTACAGCATACTATTTATAATCACAGTGAAACATTTTGAAAATGTGTCATGAAGCTAGACATATCATCCAGTCTGTCCAGAGGGCAAACACAGCCTACTGATCTTTGGCACTTTGGTTCACTTCTTCTAAATCCTTAGAGGACGAGGATGGAGTCCTCCAACTTTACCTACTGTTTATTCTCTAAAAAATGAACATAGAAATATAGTTCTACTTAAGTAAACCTGCCATGATTAACTTTTACATAGGAATTTCTTTACAAAGAAACATTTCATTTCTGATAATAAAAATGAGAATCTAGGGGCTAGAGAGATGGCTCAGCAGTTAAGAACACTGGCTGTTCTTGCAGAAGACCCGGGTTCGAATCCCAGCACCCACATGGCAGCTAACAACTGTCCATAACTTCAGTTTCAGGCGATCTGACAGCCTCTTCTTCCACTGGCATTGCAGAACATGGGTGCATTTACCTACATGCATATACATAAAATAAAAATTAAAAAAAAAAAAGAGAATCTAAGTCTACAACAGTGAAGGACCACCTGTGCTGGCCAGAGTCACTTGGGAAAGAGGAACCTCAACTGAGGAATTTCCTCTATCAGATTGGTCTGCGGGATTGTCTGTGCAGCATTTTCTTGATTGTTTATTGATGTAGGTGGATCCAGCCTACTGTGGGTGATACCATCCTTAGGCAGGTGGGCCTGGACAGTAAGAAAGCTAGTTGATGGGGCTGGAGAGATGGCTCAGTGGTTAAGAACACTGGTTGTTTTTGCAGAAGACCTGGGTTCGAATCCTGGCACCCACATGCAGCTAACAACTGTCCGTAATTCTAGTCCCAGGGGATCTGACAGCCTCTTCTGACTTCCATGGGCATTGCACAACATGGGTGCACTTACCTACATGCAACATGAAGGTAATACATGAACACACATAAATAAAATGAAAAGAAAGAAAGAAAGAAAGAAAGAAAGAAAGAAAGAAAGAAAGAAAGAAAGAAAGAAAGAAAGAAAGAAAGCTAATTGAGCAAGCCAGGGGAAGCACGCCAGTACGCAGCATTCCCCCATGGTCTCTGCTTTACTTCTTGCCTCCAGGTTCTTGCCCTGCGTTCCCTCCTTGATGGATTGTGATCTGGGAGCTGTAAACTGAAATAAACCCTTTCTTCCTTGAGGTGTTTTTGGTCATGGTGTTTTTATCACAGCAAGAGATGCAAACTAAGACAATACCTAAGTAAACTATATATATAGCAAGGAGAATATTATGCAGACCACAACAGTGATTCTTACAAATGAAAATGCTAAATATGTTCTTGTAATAGGTGATTTTTAACTATGTGAAAATATGTTCTAAAAAGACTAGAATGAGTTAATATCAACTTGTGAAGAGGTGCATGAAGAGTATCTCTCCTTGTGTCTATACTTTTCATTTTAAAAACATAACCAGAGGGCTTGAGAGATAGCTCAGTGATTAAGAACACTGACTGTTCTTGCAGAAGACCCAGGTTCGAATTCCAGCACCCACATGGCAGCTAACAACTGTCTATAACTCCAGTTCCAGGGGATCCAACAACCTCTTCTGTCCTCTGCAGGCATTGCATGACACAGATGCACTTACCTACATGCAGGCAATACATGCATACACATAAAATAAAAAAATAATAAACACTGGTTGTTCTTGCAGAAGACCCGGGTTCAAATCCCAGCACTCACATGGCAGCTAACAACTGTCCATAATTCCAGTTCCAAGGGATCTGACGGCTGCTTCTGTCTTCTGTGGGCATTGCATGACACGGGTGCACCTACCTACATGCAGGCAATATACTCATACACATTAAAAAAAAAAAAGCATAACCAGTAAACAAACAGAAAACTGCATGCTCCTTTCCAAGTACTCACATTCTCAGGTATGCTGGGAAGCTCTCTATTGTCAGGCACAGTGAAGTAAGAATGCTAGAAAAGAAAAAACACAACCTGTACATTTTTTTTTTCAAGAGTATCTAATGAGCACTTTACTCTGAATTTAGGTAAATATTCTGAAAATTCTTCCTTACTCAGATGAGGAAGCTGAATTTCTCTTGGAGAAATATCCATGTAACAGCTTCTTAGGCTAACATTGGACTAAATCAGAGGCAGTAAATTATCAGACAAAGATCTTTAGCATGAAAGACATTTGGGGGGACAAAATGAAGAGTTCAGAGGGCCTTTAGGCTAAATTCCCATATTTGCAGGTTTCTGAACACATGGAAGCAGCCGGTTTCATAATTGTTCAATAAGGCAGTGGACTCTGGGGACCAAAGAGTACTAGAATCACTCAAAGTCTGCCATTCCATTTCAGTATCTGAGATCACACTGATCTGTACTCTGGCCAAAATCTGTTCGTATGATGTTCAAGATTGCTGAAGGCCCACTGCATTAAGATGGCTAGATTATCACTTATGGAGAATGAGCTCCCAACTTCCAATGGGATTAGGGAAGGGAGCTGGAGCCTTGGTGGGGTTGAAAACTTGACTTCAAAGACTTCCAATGAGGCATCTCCACATATGTAACTCCAAGTTAAATGACAACCCACTGAACTGATGTCACCTCCTCAGCTGCTTTTAAAGGCTCAAAAGACAATGTTAAGTAGCACTGGTAGGAGACTTGAGCTGGTCAATTAAAGATGGGATATGAAAGGCCAGGAAAGGTCATGTGTAGAAAAGCTCAGTTCAGCCATGGCCTAAGCTCAAAGCTGGACCCCCAAGTGACATTTCAGGAAGTTCTTCCTACCCCCTTACTCCTGGGTAACTAAAGAGTAAGTAGGTTTCTAGAAGAATGATTCATATAAACTTTCTAAAATAAAAGGTCCTGGGGACAACCAGAACAATGACAACAGCAATTCTATGAGCTGCCTGCCTGATAATCAACAGACATTTATTGAACATCTGCTTATGGAAGACTTTATATCAGATACCTCATAAATATGACTTCTAATCTCCACAGTTCATTTTAAGACAGATATAATCTCCATATTTCAAACAGACAAGTTAATACTCAGAGAAGCAAACTATCTAAAGATCATAACAGCTACTCTGTGGCAGACCTAGGGCTGAAGCCAAGCCTGTAAAACTAACTGCACTATGCTCTTCTCACTATTATCAGACAGCAGCTAAAGGAATTTGAATTAAAATAACAAACTAAAAAGTAAAAAGATAGGAAAAGTAAAGCACAGGTTCAAATGTGACAACATCTTCTATAACCAAATGGCTAGAAGAGAGCCTTAGGACCAGATGACCACATGTTAAGGTGACACCAAGTAGCAGCCTAGCACACAGAGAGAGAAATAAAGAAGTCCCTTAAGAACCAGACACTCAGCAGCTACATGAGCTCAGGCATCCTCACCTGGTAGCATTAAGCTATGAATCTACAAAGGCCACTTCAAAATAGTGTGAAGAATAAACCCTTCATATATCCAGCATTTAGCATTCAACAAATGGTATCTTATTTGTTTACTTTCTGTTTTATTTATTTTTTGAGACGGGGTAGGCTTTCTAGGTCTAGCTGGCCTGGAACTTGTTATGTAAACCAGGCTGGCTTTGAACTTGCACCAATCATCTTGCCTCTGCCTCTAGAATGCTGGGATTACAGGCATGTGCCATTCAACCAGCTTAACAAATGGTATTTTAATATAGAATTATCATTGTACAACTGCTAGTTTGCATTTCTATTTTTCTCAATCACCTACATCAGACAGATGGAAATGTTCTCTTATAGAAAGTGATTAAAGATACAAAGCCCAGGCTTGGCATTTCATCAATATTTTAGGATTTATATTCTAAATGAGACTAGTCCTTCAAAATTAGAAATGCATTTTGAGAAATGGAATGTCTCGTGAAGATGGGGGGAAAATCTGCCTTTACAGATGCAGTGGATTGTAAAGAGTGAGCCAGCACAACTTTAAACCAAGTAGTCCCCAGGCTGTCCTTTGAGATTCTGTCTTGCTCCATTGCCCATGAAATGCTGGGGATGGGGGGAGGTCAGAAACATTCCAAGAATCCACTGGAATGAAACAGCTGCACGTCCAACAGTTCTTCCTGCCCCTGAGCTGGCTTGTCCTTGAGGCCTGGCATCATGCTGCCTGTGCAGACATTTGGGGAAGGAGTGGCCCTTTCTCCCAGGCAGCTGGTGACCCTACTGCTCTGCTCCACAGCTACTTGTCGGATGTTATTATCAGCTGAAGCAGTGAGATCAAGCTGTTTAGGAAAAAGGACTGGGACAAAGGCAGGGTTGCTTTGCTTTAGTGATGACTGAATCTAAAGTTGACTTGCTCATCTTTTCTGGCAGTCCCCATTTTCCTATGAGCAAAATCCTCTGTAAGTAAATTCTTTCCCTCCCGTTCCTCCTCCCTACCTGTTCCCTCCTTCCTTCTATCACTGTCTTCCCCCTCCCCCTGGGTCTCCCTCGCCTTACCTCTGTCTCTCACTCTTGTTCTTTAAACATGCATGGCAGAATAGAAAGAACATAGGCTCTGAAATTAGCTCTGGGTTGAAAGAGCCAACTCATAATTTCTTAACCATATGACTCTGCAAGAACATCCTTTCCTTTTTAAACCTTTCATCTATGAAATGAAAATGTTAATATCTATATTGGGGGGACTGTTTTGAACATTGGAGATATATATTTAGTACAAATTAGGAACTTAAAATAGATTTATTATTATTATTATTGGCAATGCCACAACTTTAAATTTTATCGTTATGGAAAAACCCCTAAGAACATTAATTTCCCTTATAGAATTAGATACTTTCCTGATCCCTGAATACTAACATTGTACCTAGTTCTCGTGAAGCTGAAAGAGAAAACTTTCCAAATGGTCAGGTCCTGTGACATAGAGGAAACAAGTCTAGATGATAACAAATGCCTGGCCAAAGGGTATTCATTAGAGAGTACTGATAAAGGTAGTGACAACTTCCATCTAAAGAATCAGAGAGTCCAGAAACTGAATTATGGAAAAGATTCCATACACTTCTTCTGATGGAAACTGAGGCCTATGCAATCTTAGTTAAAGTAAACAAAATAGAAAACTAGAACAGAAATCTCTCAATGGGTGGATCAGAGGAATTTTTACCCTGGCACACTGTACAAGGTGCAAGATATATGACAAAGCAGTCAAAGAAAGGATTACTGCTGTAGGCCAGGAACTATGCTACTACTCTTTCTGTCCTCAAGGGATGTAAAGTTCAGGAAAGGAGAATGAAAACTATCTTACTCCCACATGATGGAACTAAGTCTTACAGAGCATGCAAGGTGCTTGGGGCCAAGACAAAGCCTAGGTCAGCCTGTGTGTCAAGGGAGGATTTCTAAGGAAACAGAACTGGAATTGATTCTGAAGGATACGTATAGGTTACTAGGCAAACAGGAGAGAGGCAGTGTTGAACACTGAGGGTTCAGAATGGGCTTCAGCAACAGGGAGGCTCAGGATAGGTGATAAAGAGGCTGGTAGGTCCAGCCATCATATTCCAGCCTAGCAACTGTGACTGACAAGATGCTGTGGTCATTTGGGAAGCATTTATTCCTCAGTGAATATGAGAGAGAAGGAGAAGCCCACCCCCTGGCCTGCCTTGAACCCAGAGGCCTCACAATTCTGGCCTATGAATCTGACTCTGGCTCCTCCTGATGCTCCACAGCAAAATGCTTTCTCAGGGACAGCTACTATTCTGTTCCACTTACCACGCTGAGATGAACAGATACTCCAGGGTCAGGAATGGGAAGTCTGTGCAGAGTTTCAAGAAGTTCATTCCATTGACTTTCCTGAAAGAAATAAAACTGCTTAAGTAACAAAAGCCAGGCTGATTCTTTGGTAAGACACCTGCAGGGTGGTCTGGGCACAGTGAGATGGTGGGAGATGCTGGCCCTTAGACAGAAATAGGTTTGATATTCAAACAGGGTTGGACAAAAGACACTGCTTATGGCTCAAACATAAGAGCCAAATTGATCCTCCTACATCAAGTTTGACATTTTCTACTCTGTCAGACACCTACTATGACCACCTTTTATGGATTGTATACCATAAGCTCTCAGCAAATCTATCCCCTCAACTCCATAGCAACAACTTTTAAATGCAAACAATCTGAGCTTCCAGGGAGGGGGTGGTTGGGAGAAATAACAATGACACCATGGATCTTGTCTTCATCATCATTACCCTCAATTAATTGTATTGAGTGTTCACTGGGTATACATGGCAGTGTTCAATTATGGAACATCAGAAATGAACTAAGTATACCAGCACATGACATACAATGATGGCTGTGCATTTTAATTAGTGAAATTGAGCAACTGAGTAACATACAAAGCTACACAAATTATTCAATTGAAAACAGATTTGCCTTTAAGATGCTCAAAACAATGCTACTCACAGAATGATACAAAAGTTGTTTCTTCCACCCTGCGGAATTCTTTGTGTTAACAAAAGAGGGCTAAGCTTAGCCCTGGTAGCTATGTCCTAGCTACTGGATCCTTCCAACCACCCCATTTTGTAGGTATGAAGGCTGAAGCTTTGAATGGTAAAACAACTAGTCTCGTGTCAGAAAGCAAGATGCACAGCCCAGGGAAGAATGCAGGATTGCTGCGTTCAAGCCCACAGCCTCTCTGTCTTTGGCAGTGAACCTGAAATAAAAAGGCTGAACCTAGACAATAAGCTTGTTTCAATCTGAGCACCAACAATCAAGTTTCTTATAGGACATATGAGCTTGTAAGTGTGTGAAAACATGTTGAGCTTTGTTCTTAGTCTCAAACCTACAGAACAACTGTAGAAATAGTCCAAAGACCCTTTCATTCCCATAACTATTTGACAATTAGTTATTGGCATTACTTCATCATCCACAGACACAAAAACAAGGACTTCCTCCTACATAATATTTGATCATAATCAGGAAATAAGCTTCAATACAACATTACCATCTAATCCTCCAACCCCATCATTGTCCTCCTGGCAATCAAACCAGTTCAGAAACACAAGTGGCCTTCAGCAGGGCTGATTCTTGAGGCCCCTTCTGTTAAATAGCTCCTGGTCTTTCTTAGATTTGTATGACCTTGACAGTGAGATCACTCATTTTGCAGAATGATTCGGAGCTGTTAGATGTTTCCTCATGATGCACATTTCAACTTGTCCCTTTACTGATGACATTTGCTAGTACCACCTATTTCAGCTCCTATCTCCACTGGACAACCCTTCCCCCTAGTATCTAAAAACCTTTTATAGGGTGCTACTTTATATAGTCTACCCTTCAAGCTTTGAATCTAGTCATTTATTATTCATTTTACCACAAGTGCATGGCTTTCCATTTATTTGGTGGGATGCAATTATTTGCTATCATTATTTGTTGTGATGCCCCAAGTTAAGACCACTGGGAGCTTCTTGGTCTTTTCGCCTTGTTTCTGTATCTTTAGGACATGTCCCCATCATGTTTTGAATACTTCCTTAATTTTGGGCCCAACAGATATTTTAGGTTCATTTTATTCTTTCCCTGTCCCAGGCCTGAAGTTAGCCATTCTTTAAGGATCCAGGGTTCCTTTTCCTGGGTAATGGTATTCATAAATCAGCTCAGTGCCTATTGGGATGGCTGATGCCCAGCCTTTCAGTGGTCAGAGCCAGGGAGTATCACATAGACAAACACAGTCCCACTACAGGCCCTTCACATCTCTACTTAGCTCTGTCTTCACACTGATACCTCTAATTCCAGTCCAACACAGGAATCACCCTAGTTTCTTCTCCTTAAATACTTGTGATTACATTCCATAAAGGCAAAGGCCTTCCCCTTAGTTCTATAATAAACTTACTTATTTGTATGGAACCAGTCTTCTCTCACTGCCCCTGCCTCCACTGTCCACCCTCATACAAGTGTCCTCCCACCCCCTTGTTCTGGCACACAACACTGGGCCACTGCTGCTGGTTCCCTTCCTGTAAGGATCTCTGTAGATTCCACTTGAGGGCCTACATCCAAGTCATTGCTAACCCCAATCTACTGTGTATATAGTCTCATTTCCTCAGGTTCCAGCACCCTGGGCAGGCTGCTGCCCAGCTCAGTCACCTTCCTGCGCCTTCCTGGTCCTGTCATTCCTTCCATACAGATGCTCTTATCCTATTCAGGGTCTGACAACCATACTGCAGCAGCCAAACAGAAATTCTCATGTTCCACATGTTCCACCTTAGGCTTCAACACCTTATTCTGACTATCCTGGTCATACAACCACCTCATCCAATACTCCCAGTGACTTCTGGGTGGGAGAAGGCTGTTTTTACAGAGCAAATATACTGGTTTGGTTTTTGTTTTTCCTTTGGTTTGCATGTTTTGTGTGTGTGTGTGTGTGTGTGTGTGTGTGTGTGTGTGTGTGTGTGTACTAGCTGCTTTTTCTGTTACTGTGATAAAACATCATGAGCAAAGGAACTTACAGAAGGAAAAATTTGTTTGAGTTTACAATTCCAGAGGAATTAAAAGTCCATCATGCCAGGGAGGCATGGTGGCAAAAGTGGCTGGAGGAGAAAGCGGAGCACTCACATCTCCAAGCAGGCACAGGAAGCAGGGAGAGATTAGAAATCTGGCAAGGCTTAAGAACTCTCAAAGTCCACTCCCAGTGATATGCTTCCTCCAGCAAGGCCACACCTCCTAAATCGCCTAGAACAGTGTCATCAACTGGGACAAATATTCAAATACTCGGAGCCTATGGGGGACATTCCCATTCAAAACTCCACAGTGCGTTGGGAGGCCAGACATCAATGTCCAGTGTCTTCCTAGATTGTTGTCCACTTTAGGAGACAGGGTCTCTCAGTGAGCCTGGAACTCATTTCTTCAGTTAGGTTTTTCTGGTCAATGAGCTTTAGAAATCTGCCTGCCTTCCTCTCTTACTCAAATGCTAGGGTTACATGCACATGAGGCTGTGCCTGACTTTTATATGGGTGCTATGGATTAAAAATGTCCTCACTTTCCCAAGTGAGCAGTATCTCTAGCACCAACATTCAATTTTAAAATATTTTATTTATTATTTTTATTTGTTATTTTATGATATGAGTGTATTGCTTATATGTATGTGTGTGTGCAACACCATGTGTGTGCAATGCCTCCAGAGGCCAGAAAAGGGTGTTGGATCTCCTGTAACTGGGGTTATGGATGGTTGTTAGCTGACATGTGGGTGCTGGGAATCAAACCCCAGTCCTCTAGAAGAACAGCAAGTGTTCTTAATTGCTGAGCCATCTCTCCAGCTCCAACATTCAATTTTAATAAGCATTCTTTTATTTTGTTTTAATCTAGTAATCAGCACCTTTCTAACAAGCTAATTGTAGACAGATTCCCTACTCTGTGTTCATAATTCTTTTAACCAAAACAAACTTCATAAGTGTCCTGGGTCAGGAGAAATAGACTCTAACCAACTAAGCCATGTGACTGATCTCAGCCTTTTATACAACATGAGGCAGGGGCCATAGGTACACTGATCCCACAGGGTTAGGCTCAGTTTATATCACTCTTTCCTTCCTAAGCTTTTGTTTCATTTTGAGTTTGGGCATTTTTTATGTTTTAAGATAGGGTCTCATATAACTCACACTGGCCTTGAACTCACTATGTAGCTAACAATGGACTTGAGTCTATAATCCTCTTGACTGCCTCCCGAATACTAGGATTACAGGTATGCCCTATCTATACACAAGTTTTAAATACCTATTAAGAGTTCTAAGTTCTATTATTGTTTTTAAAACTGACTAGAATCGGGGGCTGGAGAGATGGCTCAGTGGCTAAGAGCACTGGCTTCTTGCAGAAGACCAAGGTTCAAATCCCAGTATCTACATGGAGGCTAACAACTGTCCCTAATTCCAGTTCTAGGGGATCTGATGCCTTCTTCTGTCCTCTGAGGGCATTTCACAACATAGGCATACTTATACAACACTCATACACATAAAATAAAAAGAAAACGTGACTAGAATATAAATATAGGGGAAAACATAAGAGTCAATCTCCAGCTCATGCCCTGCTCAAAGTCAACAAGCTTTTACATAATTTTATTTATTTAAATACACCTTTCATATTTGAGGTGAAGCTTGAATGTCTGACCAAAGCTAACTATGAATTGGAAATCAATGAACAGACCCCAAGGTAACCTACTAACACATTCATCAAAGATGCCAGTTCTTTTATGATAGAATCCTGACATCGAAGCTCACAGTGAGTACAGTGAGTGAGGGCCATTTCTAGAGCTATTCCTTCCAGCTGCTGTGACCTCTGGCAAACATTTTCTATTGAGTCAAGCTCACTTGAAGAACAGTTTTATCCATTATACACACAATTTGTATACCACCAAAATGGTATTTCCCAAAGTGTGTTCCAGAGAATCCACCTAGTTCAGCATGTTGTTTATCATAGACTGAAAGGGTTTGGTATGAAATGAGGAGAGGAGGCAGTGAGCCACAAAGGTTACCCTACTGCAGGACTTCTGAGAGCCCACATGAATCACAAGAAGAAGAAAAACGGATTTTGCTCCCTTTAAGCCCAATGATACTAAACTATAATTTTTATAATATTTTTTAGAACTAGGACTCTTTAGAAAGATTGAAATGAAAATATAGCACTTAAAAATATGTTATATCACTTTTAACATCTTGCAATTTACAAAAAGAAAAACATAAGAAGTTAGCTACATGGCCAAATAGTTAACTCACTAATAATCAAAGAAATGTAATTACAACAGTGATATTTTTACTTATCAAATAAATGACAAGTTCAACAAGTGGTATCAGTGACAGCACTGAGACACAGTGTGCTGGTAAACAGTGCACCATAAGAAAATACTGCAGGCCGGGCGTGGTGGTGCACGCTTTTAATCCTAGCACTCGGGAGGCAGAGGCAGGTGGAGCTCTGTGAGTTCAAGGCCAGTCTGGTCTACATAGTGAGTCCCAGGCCTGCTCAGCTAGGGCTATAGAGAGACCCTGTCTCAAAAGACAAAAGAAAGAAAGAAAGAAAGAAAGAAAGAAAAAATTTTCTCCAATTTTTTGTGGGTACAGGTGGAATTTGACTCATTGACCACATAGGTCATGGACAATGGGTTTTCAAAAAAACATTCTGCCCTGGGTACATTTGTTGAAGGAAGGAAGGAAGGAAGGAAGGAAGGAAGGAAGGAAGGAAGGAAGGAAGGAAGAAGGGAGGGGGGAGGGAGGGAGGGAGGGAGAGAAGAGAAGAGAAGAGAAGAGAAGAGAAGAGAAGAGAAAAGAAAGAAAAAGAAAGCAAAAGAAAATATTGCAATTATTTTGGAAACTAGTTTGGCAAATGTCTGAAAAATGCTTATGACCAACTAAGCATACAACTGCCTGAGGTTCTCAGAGAAATGATGCGAACCATGTAAACCAGGCTGGCCTGGATCTCAGAGATCTTCCTGTCTCTGCCTTCCTAGTGCTGGGATTAAAGGCGTGTGCCACAATGCTCAACTTTAACAGTATTTCTATAGTGTGGGAGAAATAATTCTATTACAATGGTATCTGAATATGTGAATTACAAAAAATCTACATAGTGATCCAATCGACCTCTGTCATTCATGGGTAAGATCTTAGCACATCATTTCTTTCAGAGATACAGTAAGATACAGCAGAACTTTTAGTTTTCTGACTCTTACAAAAATTATTGTAAAACAAAGACTTATCAAAATGGGGATTTAGGCTGGTGGGATACCTGAAGTGAAGTGACCTGTAGCATGACATGAGCAATTTAACATCATGACTTAGCAGGCAAGCAGTTGAATGTCATGAGCTTTCAGGGTTGCTTGGAATATTAGACACTGTAAATATTAGCTCTGTGAATGCCTGGTCTAATTCTTATTTCCTTACCTCAAAGGAAAAAAAAAAAGGAAAAAATAACTCAAAATCCTTGCAATACTTATTTTAGAGACAAGGGTGAGCTATAGTAGTTTAGAGGCCTTCCCTCCACTCCCTTTATTTTCTGAATCCCCAACCTTTCTGTGATGGGCATGCATTACTTTTTTGATAAATGTTCCAGTGAAACATAAGACATATATTACTTTTATAATCATAAAATTATAGTTTATTTGTTAAAAGAATTATTTTTTTTAAATGGCAAATACCTGTCGCTTTGTCGTGTAATCTGCAAGGATGTTAAGGAGTTTATAAAATACCTCGAACCAGGGGAGGTAGCTGAGGAAAAAAAAGAAACACAAGAAAATTAGCATGCAGCTCAAAAGACTGTATCAGGCCCTAACTAAAACAAAAGCATTTTAATTTTTCTCTCCATCCTGAAGATCCCGCAGTCATGACTGCTGAAAACGTGGACTGGTGAAATGCTAATTATTTCTGGGATTTTAAAAACATGCCTGTGTGAGGCTGAAGACTGAATGTCCATTATGAATTGTTTCCATGCCTCAAAAGTAGTCCAGCTTCATAGAGAAGAAATCCAAAGGAGGCTCTGCGATCAGGCACTATGTTTGAGTAGCCAGGCCTTTCTCACTACACCCACAGTCTATGAAAAAGCATCTATTCAGTTTCTCGTAACAGGACACACAACCACACAGCATGCCCATCACTAGCATCTTCAAGATGTCCCACATGCCCTGTGCACCCAAAACCACACATGTCAATACATCAGGCCTTCTAATGCATCTGCTTTCTACCGGCTACAGTAGGAGCATCGAACTCTCCATTCCTACTGCCGCCGTCTAGCAGGTCCTGACCACCGTTCCCCTCAATTTACACGATGGCCTACCTGCAGATCTTACCCTTGAAATTCACCCTTGGGGTGGCCATCAGAATCATCTATCTAAAATGAAAATCTACATGACACATTAAACTACTGCAATGGCATCCCATGACTACAGCATTCAGTAGTCCATGCTTCTCAGGACAGCTTTTGAACCTCCTCCTTGTCAGGCTCTGATTATTCTTTCTCTGCTTGGCCATGTACCTGCTCCTCTCATGACAGCCTCACCCTGGAAATACCTGGGCATCTTTGAGCCTGCCTGAGGTAGTGCACAATGGGTATTTTCTCCCTGTGGCCTTCACAGTCTAGTCCAGCTGATTTCTGATTGTCTTTCTAACAGCCCCCTACCCCTCCTTATCCCTGCCTCTTGTGCTATAATTCCCTCTTTTCTGTGCTGGCCATGTGCACACTGTTACAATATCCACCCACCCCTCCTACACACAAAGGAGCACTCCATGGCATGGCTGTCTTCTCAACAGGCACATAGAAAGGAGAACCTCTTCCTCTGCTGTGTCTTCTCAGTGCCAAGAATGGAGATTGGTTCACATTTAGAGCTTAGAGTTTACTGAAAAATACAAATAGATGAAGACTAGTAGACAGCAAAGACCCTTGGCACCACGGAAAACTTGGTGAGAGGTATCCCTTCTCCCAAGAAGATTTCCCCCTTGCTTTAAAGGGCTCCGTTTCCTACAAGAAGTGTTCCGAAAGCTACTGAGAACAGGCACGTGAGGAGCTTGCTGCTCGAGTCTGCTCACATCTGCTCTGCTGAGTGTCCATCACTGATAGGGCTGGATCCAAGGCAGAGCCCAGATGTGACATCCTGCCAGGGAGAGGGGATCAGCACCCTGTACAGATTACTACTGGGCTGCTGAGGGTAATAAATGAAGTGAGAAGCTATAGAGAGGACAGATAAAGTGCACAAGCTCCTATCAGTGACGTCTGTCTGAAGACAGCACATGCTACTGTAAAATTTAAGTAGCTTATCAAAATATACTGATAAGCAACTTAACTTTTCACTTCTATGACAGTATTATCACTTATGTTAATATGTTTCCATCAGCTCTGGCAGCCACATATGGACTCTTCCAGAGCAAATGGCTGCTGCCACTCTCTACAGCGTTGACTCTGGCAGAGCAATGTAAACATTTAAGAAGGATTAGGCAGGAGATAACATGCTCCCTTCCTCTTCTGCTAAATAAACCTCCATGAGCTGAAAGCCATTAGAGCAGAACAAGAAATCTCCTTTGAAGAAAACTCCCTTGCAGATTAGAGGTCTTTCAGTAAACAAATTCAGCCAAGGATTACAAGTATTTCTTTCCTGAAAGAAAACACCGCTAGGTAAATCTAACCATTGGAAGTCAGGAGGGAAGAAAGGGGCAAGTAGAGGAAATGCTGGCCTCAAGCACAGGAAAGCAAAGCAAAGCTCCTTCTAGGAATGCTAGAGGCAGTGCAGTGGGATGGTCTGGCTTTGCTGAGACTTCGGGACTGCATACTGAAGCAGTTTGGGACAACTAGTCAACTGACAGACAGAGCCTGGTAACTTACAACCTCAGCATCCTTACCTGCTGTGTGCTGAGGGAAGTGGCATGGTGACAGCCACCAGGCCCATAGAGCCAAGCCCACTTTGTACTGCTGGCCTCTGCCTCACCGAATCAATTCCTCTGGCTATGTTGGTACAAACACTGGCTGTGGACTGGTAGTAGTTACCCTGGAAACCAGTCACTTATCTCTCCCTTTGGCCCAACTGGACACAACTATTCTCCACATGTTGTCCCATGTGCGCTGAAGATGAGTGTCTAGTGAAGGCAGTGCTACAGTTTTGAAACCAAACCCCAGCTGTCTTCTTCTTCAAAGTGTCCCAGCTTCCCCAGCTAGAAGACCAATGTTCACAGCTGAGCTCTGTCTGTTGGCGCTTCCCGTCATCCTGCTTCATTAGTGCTGGCACCATGGTGTACAACTGGGAGACTGCAGGTGAAGTCAGGGAGCCCCCTCTCCATTCTGTGTGTGTCTGTCATCAGAGAGTAAACACTTCCCACTCCACACACGGGAAACAAGCACTCCATCATGCAGCTCCTCCCTGGCCACCTCCCTGGCCAAATGGAGTGAGGAACGCAGCTATGTGGGAAGGGAGGTGAAGCAGGAGTCTAGTGACATGCAAGGGAATTGATCAAGCAATGAAACATACAGTTGGAACCAGAGGTCTTGATATCAGACACTAGAGTTAGAAATATGGATATTAGAAAACAAGAATGAACCCTGGTTGGGTATACCTATGTGAAATCATGGTATCCAGAGATAGAAATACAAATATAGATGTGTACATTCAGATTATACACATACCCACAGGCACCTTCTAGTCTGAACCACAGAGAAGGCCCATGAGCAGAGATACCTCAATTATAATGAGCACCCTTAGTGCCCAGGTGTTGACTTCTAAAAACCATTCTCTATTAAGAATGAGGGCTCCTTGAAGAAATGTTGGCTTCTAAGGCCAGAGCTGAGAAATGCCTTGAGCTGGAAAAAAGGAAGGCAGTATTTAAAACATGGTCAGGACATATCAACAGGACACAAAAGTCGATGAGAAGGGGGTGGATCCCACTGACAAAATCTGTGATACTCTGAACATCAAGGCAAATAATAATAAAGGGATTATACAGAGTCTATGCTGATATAAATAAATGAATACAACATTTTCTGAGTGGTAGGGTTACTTACACAGTCTGAAAGTGCTTCACAATTGATTTGTATATCACAGAGGAAATAAAAAGGATGCTACCTTCATCAAATAGCAGACTGAAATAGTGTGGCACCCGACAGAACGCAGCAGAACAACATAGCACAACTTTATCACACCCTTGCCAAGGAAGCAGAGCCTCATCCTGAAGATCAGATGAATCCCAACTGAGAGCCCTTCCATAAAGCGATGGCCCAACTGTTGCCTTCATAAAGGTGGAAGAGACACTGAGGAACTGGACCAGACTGAAGGACAGAAATGACAAATGCAACATCAATTCTGAACTTGATTTCTTAAAAGCATGAAAAGGAAAGGTCCATGGATTTCACCAACTTTTTAATTTTTATGATTGCTATGTAGTTATATAAAAGATTGCTCTTTTGTTTTTATAATGTACACTAAAATGTTTGCATTTACTGGTTATTATTTTAGCAACATGTCTCAAACAGGGCAGGGGGAAAAAGCAGACGTTTGTGTTGAATTTGCAATTTTTTTTCTCCAAGTTTGTTATTACTTAAAACAAAAGAGTGTCTTCTTCCATCAAAAACAGTGTAATCATATCAACTGAAGTGTTCAAAGTTACAACATAAATTGGAAATAAATAGAAAAATTACAGAGCATGGCCAGAGAGAGAAGAGTGCGACAGAGACAGATCAGCAGTGGCAACTGGAAGCCACTCTCCACCTCAGAGAGAAGCTGAGCTTCCACTAGATTCTGAACCAGGTTAGATTCTGAATAAGGTGGGGCCAGTGAGTGGGAGGAAGCTGGCAAGGGTGTGTATGAAGAGCGCTACAAGCAGAAATAAAAAAATCTCACAAGCAAGGGCTGGAGCAAGCGTAACAGTTGAGGCTAGAGGGCATGTAGGGCTGGATTCTGAAGGACCAAACTAAGGGGCCACACTCAGTAACCTGGATGGAGATGGAAAAGAGACAGTGAAGGAGGAGTAACACCCTGGGGATGGGCACTTAGAAACAGGAAAAGTATACTTCCCCCTCATCTTAGCCCCTCGTGAACTCAGCTTTATCAGAGCAGTGCTTGACTTGCTACCATAAAAGGAAAATACTAGCTAATATAACCCATTCATCCTTATAACTTGAAAGTGATCAATAAAATGCTCTGGCTGACGTTTAGAAGAGAAAAATAAAAGGAATTTACACTAAAATTCTACCAAGTAAATACACAAGGCATTTACACGGGATGATACAAGGAAGTCGCCGCCCCCTCAGACAGCACCAGACATTTGGATTGGGTGGAAGACTGAGCACAGTGAAGTGAAGCAGAGTCTTCCTATTTTTGGTCAATTTCTGAGGTGCTCTTGACCTGACTACAAAGGAGAGATATTTCCTTCTTTCCATAGTTTTTGCTAAGATTCACCAGATGACAAAGCATACCCTAGTTAAGGTGATTTGGTATTTACTCTTTCAAGCTTTCATATTAAAACAAACAAACAAACAAAAAACAAACTTGGGGGCTTGGAGAGATGACTTTGTGGTTAAGTGTGCTTACTGCTCTTGCAGAGGACCTGGGTTTGGTTCCCAGCACCACTTGGTAGATCACAATTATCTGTAACTCCAGTTCCAGGAACACCAACACCCTCTTCTGGCCTCCACAGGCTCCTGCACACATGTGAGACACAGAGAAGCAGGCACAGATATATACATATAGAATTTTTTTAAATGAATAAAGTAAAACAAACAAACACCAAAT